TTAGAGCTAACTGTATCAAGTAAAAGGTTTAGGCTGAGGTGTACTTTTTAAAAATATAGATAGAAGTTGTTCCAACATTTGTTGAAAAGGCTACACTGTTCTGTTGAATTGCTTTTGCATATTTATAAAAAAGAATCAGATGACTATTTTTAAGTCAGTGTATTTCTGAATTCTACCTTCTGTTCCATGATCTATGCATTTATCCCTTCACTAATTCAACATTGACTTTATTATTGTAACTTTATAGTAAGTCTTAACATTGGGTATATGATTTTTGCAGCTTTATTCTTATATTTTGTTTTAGATATTATAATTCATTAGCCATTCCATATAAATTTAAAAATCAGCTTGAATATGTCTAGAAAAAAATCCTGCTGGGATTTGGATTGATACTGCATTAAATCTACAGCTTGGGAAGCACTGACTTCTTTACCATGTGGAAACTTCTAATCCAAAAATATAGTATATTTTTCATTTATTTAGGTTTTATTTCATTTCTTTTGTCATCATTTTGTAGTTTTTTAGCATACAGATCTTGTACATTTTTTGTTAGATCTATACTTAAGTATTTCTTTTGTTTTTTGAGCTATCGTAAATAATGCTATTTATTAAAATTTTGGTATATAATATATATTGCTAGTACATTTAAATACAATTGACTTTTGTGCTCTGACATTATTCCTGCAATCTTGCTTAACTTACTAGTTCTAGGATTTTTTTTTATTGTTTAATTTTTTACATAGACAATCCTTTTATCTGAGAACAGGGACTGTTTTATTTTCTCCTTCCTCTTTATCTCTTTTTCTTACCCTATTGCACTTATTGCTAAGACTTTCAGTCCTATATTGAATAGGAGTGGTGAGAGGAGACATTTTTGTCTTGACCCTGATCTTACAGGGAAACCATCTGGTCTTTCACTAAGTATAACAATAGTTTTAGATTATTTTTTTTTAGATGTCTTTTATGACATTGAGGAATATTACTTAGTTGTCTGACTCTTTTCTAAAATAATGAATGGATGTTGTATTTAGTCGAATGCTTTCTCTGCATCTATTTATATGTTAATGTAGCCTTCCTTCTTTATTTACATTGATGAGATTTTCAAATATTGAACCAGCATTGAATTTCTGGGATAAACCCCAACTGGTCATGTGTACTGCTTTTTTTATATGTTGCTTGATTCATTTGGTAATATTTTGTTGAAAATTTTTTTAAGTTTATGAAGGATCCTAGTCTGTAGTTTCTCCCTCCTCCCACCTCCTTTTGCTCTTGTTGCTGTTCTCCTCCTCCTTCTCCTCCCCCTCCTTCTCTCTCTCTCTTTTTCATATTCTCTGTTAGGTTTTGGTGTAAAGATAATTCTAGCCCCATAAAATGCGTTAGGAAGAATTCTCTCTTTTTTTTAAATTTTATTTATTTATTCATGAGAAACACAGAGAGAGAAAGAGGCAGAGACACAGGCAGAGGAAGAAGCAGGCTCCATGCAGAGAGCCTGACGTGGGACTCGATCCTGGGTCTCCAGGATCACGCCCTGGGCTGAAGGTGACGCTAAACTGCTGAGCCACCTGGGCTGCCCAGGAAGAATTCTTCTATTTCTGGAAGAGATTATGTATAATTGGTGATACTACTTCATTAAATGTTTGATAGAATTTTCCAGTGAAATATCTGGTCCTAGAGATTTTTCCTAGAAGTTAAATAATTCAATTGCTTAAATAGTTATAAGACAATCACGATATCTATTCATCTTGCACAAGTTTTGCTGGTTTGTGATTTTTGGAGGACTTGGTTCATTTCCTTTTTGTTTTCTAATTAGTGTACGTAGTGGTTTTTTCCTAATGCTCTGTTAATGTCTGCAGAGTCTGTAGTGAATCCTCTTTTTTTTTATACCTGATAATGATACTCTGTGCCTTTTATAGTTTTTCTTTCCTTAGTCAAATTTTGCTTCATGTTTATCAATTTTATTGATGTTTTCAAATATCTATATTTTGGTTTCATTGATTCTACTTTTTTTTTCAATCTTATTGATTTTTGTTCTTTATTATGTCTTTCTTTTCTGCTTGATTTTTGCTTATTTTTAAAAACTGGCTTCCTGAGGTTTAAGTTTAGATTATTAATTTTAGATTTTTTTCTACTATAAGCATTTAATGATATAAACTTCCCTCTTATCATTGACTCAACTGTACCACATAAATTTTCATGTTTTCTTTTCACTTATTTAAAATCTTTTCTAATATCTGCTGAGATATATGATCCATATACTATACAGAATTTTGTCGTTTAATATGTTTGAAGATTTTCCTGAAATATGTTATCAATTTCTTGTTCAATACCTTTGATCTGAGAACATATTTGTATGATTTTAATTATTTTAAATTTAAGGTTGTTGTATGACCCAGTTTATGGTCCACCTTGATCATTATTCCATGTGCATTTAAAAACAATGCCTATATTCTGTAATTGTCAATTAGATCCAGTTGGTTGATGATGTTTTCCTCTTGGTTTAGCCTGTTTGTTGTCCAGTCATCCTCTTGAAATTATGAATTTATGCCTTTTGTCAAATTTGGGAAATTTTTAGCCATTGTTTCTTCCAATGTTTGTTTAGCACCATACCCTTTCTCCTGAGACTAACAATATATGTCTATTAGAACTTTGGTTGTCCCACAAGCCCCCGAGGTTTTGTTCATTTCTTTGCCAAGCTTTTTTTCTCTGTGTTTGTTGTTCAGATTGGATGACTGCTATCATTCTATGTTCAAGGTCACTGATTTTTCCTTTGCCTACTCTCAATTCTGTGATTTCTATCTAATGAGATTTTAATTTTGGTTATTGTATAATTTTGTTCTAAAATATCCATTTGTTTCTTCTTTATACTTTCCTTTTTATCATGGTTCTTTTTATTTTAACATTTATTTCAAAGATGTTCACAATTATTCATTTAAGCACTTTTATAATACCTGTTTTATAAGTTGAGGATTTTTTATTTTTTATTTATTTTTTTAGTTAAGGATTTTTTTAAAAAAAATATTTACTTATTCATGAGAGATACAGAGAGAGAGAGTCAGAGACTTAGGGAGGGAGGGAGGAGGGGAGAAGCAGGCTCCCTACAGGGAGCCCAAGTGGGACTTCATCCTGGATCCTGGGATCAAGCCCTGAGCTGAAGGCAACCGCTCAACCGCTGAGCCACCAGGCGTCCCTATAATACCTGTTTCAAAGTCTTTCACATATAATCTCAAAACTTATTTCCACTTATTGTTGGCATCTATTTATTATTATTTTCCATGCAAGTTGAGATTTACATGGTTCCTTGTTTGCCAAGTAATTTTGGCAATGGTGTTGAAAGATTATTGTTTAGAGACATGTAGTATTCAAAGATTCTATAAATATTTGTTCATTTGTTCATTAGGGGAAAAACAGCCAAAGTCTGTCTGATCAGTTAATACCATACAAATTCTTTCATTATCAAGTAGAACTATTTTTTTCTTCTATTGGTACAGTTATTTATCTTTAACATGGCACTACATACTTACATATAAGCAAAGATAAAATTCTCCCACTTGCAGAGAAGGAAAATAATACTTTCTTCTCCTCATATACAAGAACTACCAATTCTTGGGGCCCCTGGGTGGCTTCGTTGGCTAAAGCATCTGCCTTTGGTTCAGGTCATGATCCCAGGGTCTTGGGATGAAGCCCCTGGTCAGGCTCCCTGCTCAGTGGGGAGCCTGCTTCTCTCTCTCTCTCTCTCTCCCTTTGCTGCTCCCCCTGCTTGTGCTTTCCTCTGGTTCTCTCTCAAATAAATAAATAAAATCTTTAAAAAAATGAATTACTAATTCTTCCCTCATAAGGGTGACTAGGAGAAGGAAGGATGCATAAGGCACGAGTGGCTTCTGTTAGTTTTGTCACTTCACTTAAAATTTCTCCTGCTAGAAACTGAGGGATGGAGGGAGGGAGGGAGGGAGGAAGGGAGGAAGGGAGGGAGGGAGAGAGGAAGGAAGGAAGTGCGAAGGAAGGGAGATGGGAAGGAATGAAGGAAGGGAGGGAGGGACGGAGGGAGAGAGGAAGGAAGGGAGGAATGGAGGAAGGGAAGGAAGAAGGAATGGAGGTAGGGAGGGAGGGAGAGAGGAAGGAAGGAACGAGCAAGCTTTAAACTGACATAAACATGTCTTTCAATTTAGACACAAATACCTTTGTATTTATAGTGCTCAAGGCCTTTTGATTATATACTTTGAGATTCAGGTTCTAGTTTTGGCAGTTCTCAGCTTGCAACCTTGTTCACTGGACTCCTTGCTCAGCTTTGAGGTAGTGGTTATAATAGAACTCCCATGCAGGAGTTGCTCTGAAGTTCAATAATGTATGTTAAAGATTAGAACCAAACACATAGAGCTGGCAATATATCAGTGATAGATTTCTTTCTTTTCTTCCTTCCAAGAAGCAATTATATTTATTCTGAAACAAAATTTATCACACTTAAAACTGCTCTAAGGAAGAATCTCCAAATTTCCTATAGTAACTCGTTCCAATATTATGTAAGAAAAAAAAGTCACAAAATCTAAGTGCATGCGAGTAATGTCTATTTAATAAGGTTTAGATATCCACTAAAGTACCTCTTCTCATTAGTCATTCTGAGATATCCCAGTAACACTTGTAGGTAAGATGAAATGAAAACAGTTCAAACAATGAAAAAATACCAAATAAATGTGAACTACTTGACATTTTGGGGATAGATGGCATTGATAAGATTTTTAAAAATCTGGCTGTCAGATTTTTATATCTTTGGCAAGTTAATTAAGAGAACTTTAGCTTGTTAAATACTGTTTGAAATTTTACACTTAATGAAGGTCTGAACTATATATCTTTGCTCGATCCAGAAAAAAAAAAACCCATAATTGTCACCGAAGGAATTACAATAATTTTATTGTTCCTAATTTTAGGAACTTTTCCTTAAGAAAATTAGAGAGTGAACTAAATTTTCTTTTCTTAAAAAAAAAAAAAGAAAAAAATGTACTTACTTCTAAGATTATGAAGTAACATATCTAGTAAAGTCATAAATTTTATATATTGAATAACAGAAAAGTCCATTCCTCTAGCCCACAAAAATCCAGATACATAATAATCTAGTAGAATGGCTTCCTTTAAACAGGTGTGAAGGTTTTTGAAATTCAAAATTTTTTTCAGTTTTCTGTAACAAAAAGAAAAATCCAGACATTAAAATCAGATCAGCGAATGGTTCCTTTCCTAAGTTTTGAAAATGCAGATATTTTTCTTGAATGAAAATTCTATAATACCCTTAATCTAAAAATATCCACAGTTCTATAGAAATCCTAAGTCCAAAATGACATTCAAAAGGGAAACAGAGGGAAAAGGAAGAGATACAGCAAGTTCAAGCATTCCTGTTGCTCCTCTTCCTCCCCTTCCTCTATTCTTGTAATTCTCCTCCTCACCTTCCTCCTTCTGTCTTCAAAGTACAGTAATTTTACTAGCATTTTCTTCTCTGAAATTCAATATCTTTTTCCATTTATACAATCAAGATTGTTTCTGACAACATTCTGGAACTATCTTGTTAAACAAATATCTGTCCTGTTTTCTAAAGAATTCCAGTTATGTATGTTTTACTTATTTTGTCTATAGCTGTAATTTTCTATTAAACTTCAAACATTTTTTTCAAATCATTTCATTTTATATACTTTTCTCAATACTGTTTTCTAGGTCCTTTAGTGTTCTCAGCAGTGTTACTTCTCCCTTGGGCTGCTTAGAGAGCTCACCTCCATAAGATCTTTTCTTTTCTACTCTTTGCTTTTTAATATTATTTATCCCCCTTTAATTTCTTATCTATTCCTTGAGTTTTTATATCTGTTTTATGTGCTTGTTGTGATTGCTTCATAGGTTTTTTTTTTTTTAATTCATGGTAAGTGTTTGGCAGTATAGACTCTTCATCTGTCATCTCCATGCTGTTCTTTTTAATTAAATATTTGACCTAAATAGTTGCATGTGTTCTTTGTTTTTCTTTTTTTTTTTTGTTCTTTGTTTTTCATTTTTATTTTTTTAGTGTTTGATTATATGAAAATGAAGGCAACTATTTGTCTCAGAGTATTTTAGTGAAACTTCTTTAACATCCCTCTATCCTTGCTCTTCCCCAAACCTCTTCACCACTTCCCCTAGTACCATTTGAATCTTAACCTTCAACTTGAATTGCAGGGCTGAATAGTCAGCATTTCTATTCTTTGTTCAGATATTTCATCCCAAAGGAGGTTATGCAGGAAGGAATTTGGAGCAAGATGCTATTGCAGTTTGAGTGCAAAGTTCCCATAAATTTAGTGGCAATTTTTTAAGTTTTTCCTCTGGGTTTAGATAAAGAAAGATGGGATATGGGAAAGGACATGCCACAGCTGTGGCATCAGAGACTACAGGGAAAGAGAAAGATGCTTAACAGGGACTTAGGAAGTTGTGCTATAGTGATATGTGATATAACTATCTACTTTGTCTCACCAAGAATTCCAGTAAAAGTATTACATTATTCCTACATGCTCTTGAAATTGGAGTGCATCTTATTTTTTTAGATGATGACATTCAGAAATATGCCTTAAGGCAAGAGCTGAACAGCTCAGGGAGCCCAGTTATGGAAGGTTATTAAAAGATCTCTCAGGGTTATTTCTGTATTTAAATAGTTATTTTCAATTTAGTCCTTAACCTTTTTCCAAAAAGGATTCGGGTGGATCTGTAAAAAAATCAGGGTTATATTAAAAGCATGAATGAATGATAATAGTTGGGAGATCATGGGAAATGTAATCAGACATTTAACTTTGCTTGAAGTGTACTCTAGAAATATGCTTTAATGATACTATGTTTCATTTGGTTGGCTGCTTTCATGAACATAATTTTTAATTTTAAAAGGTAAGGAAATGTGCTGATTTCTTATAATTTATTTAAATAGGTTTATAGCTTTGTAGACTGTATGGCATACTTCTGTCACTTGGTGACAGGATACCTAAATTATATTTCTGTCATTTTGAAGGGTATATAATCCCCATTTATAATAATGCTATTTTAAATGGGAAGTGAATGACTGATTACAAATATTTCAGGATTACTGTTACAAAAATCATATAAAGAACCTCAAGAAAATTACTTTGCAAAGAAATGGCTCCTGACATAACACTATCATTTATTCAAAATTGATATCCTAAAATCTAAGATTACTTCAGGTGAATTTATTAATGAGACAATCTAAAAGGTCAACCTACATTGAACCTAATTGTTTCCATACAGTTAACTTCTGTATCACCCTCTGTATCATTTCCTTCATCCTAGATGTAACCTCTTAAAGATTAAAAATACCTTTAGAATTTAAATATTTGACAATAAAGAGTCAATAAGTGGGGGAAAAAGAAAGACTGTCACACAAGGTATGGTACACAGTACAACTTAAGATGTGGTGAGAAATAAACAAGTCTAAAAAATTTATTTTCAATACCTTTTTATTTAATATTAATTGCATTTAATATAACATCTTTTGATATTTCATACAAATAAATTGTAAACTATATTAAATGCCTGTCATTTGCATATTATTTTGCCTACTATAAAATACCTATTTTTTGCACTTCAATGATCAACATTTGGGATTATCTAAAAATGGAAAATATTTTACTTAAAGCATAATCAGTGATACTAATATAATGCATGCATTTTACTAATCAATTTTTAAAAAGATTTTATTTATTTGACAGAAAGAAAGAGCACAAGCAGGGGGAGTGAGAGAGAGGGGGAGAAGCAGGCTCCTCATGGAGCAGGCAGCCTGATGTGGGGCTCAATCTCAGGACCCTGGGATCATGGCCAGAGCCAAAGGTGGATGTTTAACAAACTGAGCCACTAGGTGCCCCTACTAATCAATTCTGTTACTAAAAAACAGAATTTCCAATGGACATTCATTTCTATAAAAATGCTAAAATTACTATGATAAAAATGCTATGTTTAAAAATCTGTGAAATTTTTAATTGACTAATACTTAAAAAGCTATATAGATGATAAGCAGTATGGCCAAATCACAGATCACCAGGATTTCTAGCAAGATTTGCAAGCCCTGAAGGTGAAGAGCATCCTGGGAAACGCCTGTCAGTGTCATTTGCCTGCTCTTAATATGCTTTCCCTTCTCAGATTTCTCTTCCAGCCAGTACATTTGTCATATTTCCTTCTCAGTAGTAAATCACCTCTATTCCACAATATTTGTAAGATTTGCAAATGATAGCCACTGACAGTCATTTTCTATTTGTCCATTATGGTCCACAATACCCTCCTAACATCCAGATGACTGGCTTGGGAAGACATTACTGTCCAGAACATCACATCTCTACGCATTATAGTCAATCAGGCTTCCATTATTAGAGCAAGATAACTTTTAAAATGACTGATTCTCAAAACACATTTTAGGAACTTGGGTGTTAGATATATCTGACTAGAGTTCTAAGTAAATGATTTGCTGTAGAAATCAATGGCCTTAAGAAGGAGATATACATATATTAGAATTGTTCCCATAAATTCAGTTATATTCACATTTTTAGGCAAAATACATGAAATCAGAGTATTTAGTATAGCTTCATATTCAAGAAAAATCACAGGTGGATGGCTAATACTCAGGATTTCCAAAATATTAAAATGTATATTAATATTACAGAAAATGCAACTTATTGTGATGATGAGACAGAAAACCTAAAGATTATTTTGCATATTGACAGTTCTATGAATGAAAGAGAAAAGAAGTAAAAGATACCATATGTTAAAGACTGCTTTTCACTGTTAACATTAACATGTTAGTCTGAAATGCATTTCTCCCACCAACAAGACAGCTGAGCAGTGTAAAAAGTCAGTTGTTTGAGAATTTTGGTGTTTCAGACTCGAAAGTGTGTGTATACACACACACACACACACACAAATCTTTGCATGATATAATAACAATTGTTCTGAAAAAAGTTTAAAATATGTAACAGCATATCACGATCATTTATAGATGCAGAACTAGAACTGTTTTGTATTTGGTTGTAATATTGAAGTGCTTACTGTTGAACTCCATCCACGTCCTCTGCTAGCATTTCAGTGATTTGAGCAACTGAAAGAAAATCTGGAGACAGAATCTTTTCATGCTCCTGGAACTCAGCATCTCTCTACCAAACAACAACAACAAAAATAAGTGTAATGAGTTATTTCAATCACATTTACATATTAATCCAATGATAGCAATATTCTGTGTTCTAGTTGCTATCAGAAATAAAATTTAAACACAACAATTTTCGATAATCATTTTTCTCTTCCATTTTCAAGTAACTGAATCTTCTTAAAAGTTCAATGTCTAGCTAATCTGTATTTTTTGCATATATTTAAAACTGGGTGATGGCTTTCAATTAACAAACTTTTCTTTGGTCTTTATTTTTTTCATCATGATAGTGTACTCTTTCTTTTTTTAAAGATTTTTTTATTTGACAGAGAGAGTAGAGGGAGAGTGTGTGAGAGCACAAGCAGGGGAAACTGTAGGAGAGGGAGGAAGCAGGCTTCCTGCCCAATGTGGGGCTTGATTGCAGAACCTTGGGATTATGACCTGAGGTGAAGGCAGATGCCTTCAGATGCCACCAGGCACCCCCTTCTCACCTGTTTTGTAAAGTTTATTCAGAGATATTCTATTGTTTTTGGCACAATTATATATGGGATCGTTTTCTTAATTTCACTTTCCACTGTTTCATTATTAGTGTATAGGAATGCAACAGATTTCTGTACATTGATTTTGTATCCTGCAAATCTACTGAATTCATTTATCAGTTCTTGTAGTTTTTTGGTAGTCTTTCAGGTTTTCTATATATAGTATCATGTCATCTGCAACCAGTGAGTTTTACTTCTTCCTTATTAATTTGGATACCTTTTATTTCTTTACGTTGTCTAACTACTGTAACTAAGGCTTCCAGTACTATGTTTATTCAACATGCTGAATGTGATGTAATGAGCACTGGGTATTATATAAGATGAACCGCTGACCTCTACCTCTGAAACTAATATACAGTATATCATAATTAATTGAATTTAAATTAAAAAAAAAGTGGTGAGTGGACAACCCTTGTCTTGTTCCTGACCTTAGGGGAAAAACTCTCCGTTTTTCACTATTGAGTATAATAGCTATAGGTTTTTCATATAAGGCCTTTATTATGTTAAGGAATGCTCCCTCTAGACCTACTTTGTTGAAAGTTTTCATCATTAATAGATGCTGTACTTTGTCAAATGATTTTTTCTATGCTTATTGAAGTGATCATATAGTTTTTAATCCTTTCTCTTACTGATGTGATGTATCATGTTCATTGTTTTCTGAATAGTGAACTACCCTTGTATCCTGGGAATAAATCCCACATGATTATGGTGTATGATTTTTTTAATGTATTGTTGGATTTGGTTTGCTAATATTTTGTTACAGATTTTTGTATCTATTCATGAGAGATACTGATCTGTACTCTTTTTTTGTAGTGTCTTTACCTGGTTTTGGTATCAAGGTGATACTGGCCTCAGAATGAATTTGGAAGTTTTCCTTCCTCTTGTATTTTTTTGGCATAGTTTGAGAAGACGTATTAACACTTCTTTAAATGTTTGGTAGACTTTGCCTGGGAAGCCATCTGGTCTTAGTCTTTTTTGTTTTCTGTGGGTGTTTTGATTACTGGGTAGATTTCCTTGCTGATAACTGGTTTGTTCAAATTTTCTATTTTTTTTTTCCTTGCTTTAGTTTTGGTAGGTTACGTGTTTCTAGGAAATCCAACAAGGAGACATCCACTCAGCAGTGACTAATCTGTCACATGTCTCACTGAGATCCACCGGGCAGTGTCCAGTCTGCCATGTGACTCACTGAGACATCCATCTAGCAGAGACATCCATCTAGCATCCATCTAGCATCCATCCTGTCATAGTGACATTCACTATGTCTCATTCAAGGAGGCAACATCCACCCATCAGTGACCAGCCTGTCACGTCTTAGCCCTATAAGCTGAAAACCCAATGCATCTGGAGGTAGCAGGACCACTTCTTTATTCTAAGAGCTTTGGTCCTCAATAGGATTGGCCACCAATCCTCAATGCAATACCAGCATCCCAGAATTACCATAAAGAGAATTTACCCAGCAATGAAAAAGAGTTAGAAATCTGGACTCTATTCTGTTTTTTTAAAGATTTTACTTATTTATTCATGAGAGACACAGAGAAAGAGGCAGAAACATAGGCAGAGGGAGAAGTAGGCTCCCTACTTGATCCCAAGACCACGGGACCACAATCTGAGCCAAAGACAGATGCTCAACCACTGAGCTATCCAGGTACCCCTCCAGGCTCTATTCTAGGGAAAACATGTGGTGGATCAAACGTGCTGCTTATGGGGAGAACTTCCCAAAGAGTCACCAATGGGCCAATCTTCCCCAAATGTGTCTTGTTATCTCCTGGCAACAGTCTAAAACCACTGTGGAGTTTTGGAGCACTGGATGATCAGTCTCATCTGTGTGTTCTCTGCAAGCCACAAATAAATTATCATGGGAGAGATTTCCCCTATGGATGCTACATGAGGAATAATCTCTGACACCTTCCAATGGGAAGAAGCAAGTGTTCCTTTTCTTTGGAGCTGAGTGATTCAATCTCTTATGCCAGCTAATAGTTTTAAGAAAAACCATCCAAGAACTGAACCAGACAGTCTTACAATTAAAGTGAGGATAAAGTTTCAGAGCCAGCTAAAGCAATTCAAAATATAGGGAATGAATAGAGAGTGGGAAGAGGGAGTGAGAACAGGTTCCATATCAGTTCTCCCAGTTTTCCTTTTCCCCAGAGAACAGACCAGTTACACAGAGAAGCACAGAGACAGAAATTACATCAGCATTAAACCAACTCTGTTTCACAGAGGAGGAACTTACCAATCTTCAAAGGAAAAATTGTGCTATGCAGACTTAATTTAGGGTTACCATTGTTCCTCTGAGGGTCACTTTATAATCACCAAGATGATGCAGGCAGCCCAGGTTCAAGAACTCAGACTGGGTCCCACAGGACCAGCCAACTGGGTCCTTGCCTTCATGCAGGATGGAAATCAAATGTAAGCCAAGAGGAAGTAAGAGTAGAGTTTATTGGAAGACATAGAGAGAAGTGATACAGACAAAGCATCTGGAAGACTCAGAAAGGAAAAGGAGCATGAGTTTCATCTTTGCTTGGGCATCTGGACTTTTTATGGAGAACAATGGTCTGGTATATGCATCCTCTTAGGTATCCAAGAACTGATTGAACAAGAATGAGTCAATTTGCAAACTTTAAAAAATATCTACATATTCCTCATTGAACTTGGGGCTCAAAATGAGGCAAGGACAAGTAAAAAAACTTTCTAGCCTCAATAACTTAACATCTAGTGGAAGGAACAAACCAAGGGTGACTTTAGACAAGAAAATAAAATGTTAAGTGAGCTGTAGTAAAGGGACAAGAATAGAGACAGGACAAAGAAAGGACCTCCTATAAGAGGAAATGGACTTGGTGAGATTTGGCAAGAATGATGGAATGAAACAGCAACAGGATACTTGGGGACTGGTTCTCTAAATATCAAGTAATGCATATTGTGATGCCTTGGGTACAAGACAGGAACTAGTTGGACCTAGTGGGAAGTGAGCATTGGGAACGTGCTGTGAGAGATCTTGAATAAATATTTACTGAGTGATTACAAAAGCAAGTTACTGCACAAGAGATCATAAATATTTTAGATCCTTGCCTGGTCAAAGAATGATAGGCTCAAGAGTTTGTTCTTAATAGTACAGGCAGTAAGGATAACCCATGAATTTCTTTTTAGCAGTGAAATGACAAGATAAAACTGTCCTTTAAGGAAGGGTGATTTGTAGGAGGGTGAAGGAAAGAAAGGAGCAGAGAAAGGACACAGAGGAGAGTTCAATGAAAATGTCTTTGAAACGGGTCAGGAATGAGGCATTGGGCTGTACTGGGTTCCTAGCAGCGTACACGAAGAGAAAGGGGTGATGCAACATATTGTATCTGGGGGACTAAAACTGGGAAGAATGAATAGTTTGAGTATCTAAAATAGATAATTGAAAGGGAAAGGTGGTGATTCTCAGGGCCTCCAATAGCTGAGTCCTTTTGTTCAGAGTACAGTCCGTAAAAACCATATGCGGCATTCTTGTTACACCAATAAAAATAGAAGCATTGGAGGATGATGCTGGATTTAAGAAGGCTATAAGACAAGTTTGATTACAGTGGTTGAGTTTAAGGGTGAATATACATATCAAGGAAGAAATGTTTAAAAGGTAATGAGAGATGCTAGACTCAGTAAGGTCTGGCTTAAAAATGTTAGTTTAGGAGTCACTCCAAGTGTGAGAGTGGTGGAAACTGCCCAGAGCCAAGGCATGGGGAGAACAGCTGTGAATGGGGGTGGAGGAGGAGACTGAGAAGCAGCGGTAAGCAGTAGCTCCATGAAAATCAAGAACTGTGAGATTTGTGGGGAGGGAGGGTACAAAAGTTTTCAGTTTGGCAAATAGTTATTTATCCTGCCATGTGAATGGGTTCCAGTAAATAAGAAGAGCAACAAAATGCTTTGCTATAATTAAAAAGATCACATCCCACATTTTCCTTATTTCTTCCCAAGAGTAGAAAAATCCCAAAGATAACAGTTATTGGTAATGGTAATCAACATAATGTCTGTATTTAATATTAGGTTATTATATTTTTATTTTAAAAAATCTAATTTAGACACAAAATATGCTACTTTATTAGCTATCTTTTTGTAACCTAGGGCTAGCAAAATAACCTAAACTAGGTCATTCTATTAGTTTATAAACTCAGTAAGAAAAAAATATTATAGCACCTAATAGAATACCTTGTACCTAGTGGGCACTCAGATACTTTAAATTGAATTACTTGCACTCAGTTTTTAGGTAGGATGGTATTTTACTCCAGAACATATGACCATATATTTGCTAAATGTTTGCTGGTTCTGTTTTTTATTATTAGCATAAAGTATAATTATTCCTGTACTGTCAACCCCATTAGATTGTAAATTCCTCAGGGACAATCATTCAATCTTCTTTTTAGAATTCTACAGATCCTACTTATGTCAAAATAGGTTGTTAATTGACTGTCTGAATTCATCTCTATCATCTAATGACATT